TATAATAAACATGTTACAAGACAAGATGATCAAAATAGAGTAATTCTAAACCTTACACTGCCAATGAGAAATAGGATTATTTTCTATTATAACATATGGATGTGGAAAAATGAATCTTGTATTCTTTGGCCCGACTCATCTTTCCAAACCATAAGAAGTAAAAATTTACCTGAATTCTGAACATGAAAGGGCTAATTCTAGAGGGTAACCGTTTATTATATTCAGAGTATAATCACCCTTATTTCTTATTTTCTTTTGCCCTGGGAATGCTCCGCACTTTTCATTTATTTGCAGGAAAGCATTCATTCCTGTCTTTGCCTTTTCTTTTTCACACTATAAACAACCCCAACTCTGTTAGGCGGCATTTCACTGTGTCCCTTTCACTTGGCTAACTCCTTGTTTCTGGATGCCTCATGGTTCCTTCATATCGCCTTTTAATTTGTGGGATTTAAAACTGGACAAAAAATTCTAACAAAGGCTTTTCAGACTTCATCTTTAGCCAAAGCATTATGTATGTAGAGAGGTTGAAATTTAGGGTAAATTATTTTTCGAATGGAACCAGAATTTGTACTTTTATGGTTCACAGACTTTTGTTGACATCACGTTGACTGAATAGGAGTTGCACTGGTTCATTTGAGGGCAGGAAGGGCTCCTCACCTCACCACAGCCTGTGTGTCTGTCCTTTATCAGCTGCTCACAACAGCAGGTGTTAGTACTCTGTGGCACCTTGGGCATCAGATATGGCAGATTTCTCTTATCTCTGCAGCTTTCGAGTATGTGAAATATTCTTCTGTTGTCCCTCACGTCAGCCTGCACATGTTTCTGGGGGGCCTCCTGTGTCAGAGTCTTCAGCTCTTGTTGTTGTGAGGTAGCCTTTTGTGGTGCGTCGGCCAGGGCATCATAGGAGGTGATTGCAACTTCTAACTACCGTGCAACGTTTCCCACCCATGAATCAGAGGGACATGCCTCTCTCTTCCTCGCCAGGCCCCATGAAGGAGGATGGCAAGCAGAAATAAAGGCCTTTCTGCTCTCCTTTTTCATTTTATAAGTCCCAGTCCCTGTTTAGTGTGAAGTGAGTATATTTTTCAGTCACTGGCGGTTCAGTGTTAGAAAGCGGAACAAGTGAAAACTCATCTCCTTAGTTGAGCAGTTATTGGATCCTTGGCTGGGCCAGGCACCCCTGGAAGGTCCGGGGGGCAGGACAAGAGAAAGAAAGGGACTCTTTTCTTACGGAGCCCAGATCCTCATAGGAGGTCACTTAAAATCACGTGGTATAGTATAACATAAGTCAGACAGTAGGAGAGAGGCGTACAATGAAAGCAGAACTGGAGAGGAGAAAGTTTAATTCTAGGTCGAGCACAGAGAAGATTTAGCAACATTCCATCTTTGCTTCATGCCAAAAGAACATAAAATACTTGGAAGTGATATCTATATTTTTGCTTGATCAGTTTCACCATATTGACTTGTTTCTGTCATTCTTCACCTTCCCCACAGGAATATTCTCTGAGGTTCCGTGCTGAAGGGGAGCAGAATTGAGGTTGGGGGAACTGGATACGAGATAAGCAGCAAATCCCATCCAAGGTTTCTGTTCTCGCGTGGCACCACCTTATGGAAGCAGAGACTAATATGTAGGCATTAGGATTTATTTTATTCCTTTCCCTAGTGGTTCTATTGATAGTGAAATGTCTTTGTCTGAGTACTCCAGCAGTATAGCTGTATGCATGGTAAAAACGCATAGATAGATGGCTAACCAGTTCAATTAGGAGGTCTCAACTCAGCCTCCTGTATGCATACTCTGTCTATTTTAAGTTTAAATTTCTGCTCATAAATTTTTAAAAACCAAAGGAAACATTGCTTTTCAAGGTTAGGTTGAAGTCTAAGCTTCCTTAAACAAAAAGCAAATCCCTAGATGGGAAAAAAATTGATAACCCTAATGTACTTCCTCACAATAGCATTTCCAACTGCATCGTTTAAACACACTTTATTCTCTTCGTTCAACATACAAATCTTCTGGCTTTCAACCAGGGAACCAGAGAAAGTCCCTGCCAGATAGAAGATATGAGATATGGCATCCAGTTCTACGCAGTTGGATTTGTTTTCTGGGTTCTCTGAATATTTCAGGTGGTGATAATCAACTGACCACATGATAATTGTCCAAAACAGTAACACACAAAGTTGCCTCTACCAATTATAAAAAAGAGAAAAGTAAATTAATTGTTAACCTTCATGATAGTGTTTTAATGTAAATGTATAAGAAAGAGATCTTTCATTTGTATCAATTATGTATGGGTAGAAATTAATTTGTAATTCTGGTCATCTGGTTGGCTCCATACTGAACAGCATTGGTGACCTTTTGTGGTACTGGAGAAAGTGTCCATGTGTCCTCAGCATAGAATAGCTCCTCGGCTGGGTAGTTTCGTTCCTTGTTGGTTCAAAACAGAAATGGCATTAAACGGCCATGGTAGAAAATAATTATTGAAGTTTTTAGATCATTTAAGTTTTCTGGTAGATCTTTGGGTTTGCCTAACCCTTACCAGGATAGTGTATTTTAGTATGCAGTCCTCAGATGGATAACAGTGTCTCTGGCTTTTGAATAAAACTGGAGATATTAAGTCTTATTTTCAGTTTGGCGGGATGCCTCCCGCAGTGTCTGCACGGAGCTTTCACAGGAGCGGCCCCTCTCAGACCAGCTCTGAGCCTGTTCCCGCCGCTCCTCGTGGCTGTCTGTTTGCTGCTTTTTCTGTAGCTTCGACTTGTAAACTTTCTTTGAACGTACCTGCAGCCATCTTTTGTTGCCGTTTGTGTTTTTTACAATCATGTTACATTTCTATAAAGATGGATGGTGAGCCAAATGTGAAGAAAAGTAAAGAGAACAAGAGTCCACTTTTAGATTTTTTAAAGAAATTTTTTGAATCTCATTGTCCTTCATATTAATGGATAAATAACAGAAAAGAAATTGGCTATTGTATATTTAAATTAATTGAGATAAAAATGTTTTTCCATTTGTTCATGAAGTGATTAATTGTACAGATCTTGAACCTAGAAGAACGTCAGCTAAGCTACCATATAGAAAGTTAGGTTTACTAGTATTACTCCAAAGAAGATGTTCTATTTGGCAAAATTTTGTGTATCTATTTTGGGACACGATCAGGAAGAATTTAACTTTCCCTGAAACAAAATTAGGTATTTTCTTTAACTTTAATTATAGATGTTAACGGTTTAAAATTTTCCAGGACAAAAATAATGAAGGTACGCCTTTTCCCTAAAACGTGTTTAATTACTTCTCAGAATATTTAGTTTGTAGTTTTTAATGGCAAAATTACAGGATCTTTCCCTAGAAAAAGAGAAGGTGGTCATACCATATTTTCAAATCGTTGGCTGTAAAAGTGATATTAACTTATGGAGTTAAAATTTCAAATATGGTCCCATGTAAATTTGCATTTCCAACTTGCAAGTGCAGGCTTTGTGTTTAATTTTGTGATTCATTCTGAAGGATTTCTCTCGTTTTTTTGCCCTAAAATGCTTTTTGTTTGTGTTTTCACTATGGCAGTTTGTTACAAGATGGTAAGAGCTATCACTTTGCCAGACTTAAATAAAAATTCACGTTTTCACATTTTTTGCTATTTGAACCTTTGAATCAACGTAGATTTTTTCTGTAGTCCGCAGGTTAACATCATCTAAAAATTTAAGAATAGACATTTTCTTAATAGTACGTCCCTGTAATTAACATCTTCATTTGCTTAAAAGCAGGGAGCTTTTCTAACTTAATAAATGAGCATTTCTCGACCTGAGGTCACTAGTAGGGCTGCTTCTTTTTGCAACATCTCCAAGAAAGAGAATGGTAATGCTCTAACGCTGTTGAAATAGAAGTAATATTTCCAGTTTAATCACAGTTAAGTGTCATGACCTTTTGATCTTGCAGTGAACTTCTTGCTGAAATGTGGTCAAATTTCAGACAGCCAGTTCTAACTTTGTGAAGTGCAAGTTCCAGTCCAGGCTTTCCAGAGATATAGAGGTTTTTCTAAAAAAAAGTTTTTTTTTTTTAGATACTGTTATATAGTCTTTCAAGTCCCAGAAAAGTGTTTTACATCAAAAAATTTTCTTCTTGAAATGTTTTGCCTGATTTTTGTCTCCTAGCCCCCAAAAATGTATCATAAGTATGCTTACTTCTAATTCTGTGAAATTCTTTTGATCTAACTTAATTTTATCTCATTTTAAAGTTAAATGTCATTTTATTTTAAATTATCCCATTTAGAAGTTGAATTAATCTTTTTAGTTTGAAAATGATTGTATTTTTTAAACAAAAAATAAATGGAATTCAGTAAAAGTGCACAAGAACTTATTTTTGTTAACAAGCCCTTTTAGGATCTCCCAAATGCATTAGACCAAGGGAAAAGTAATGCTTCTAAAGTGGGGGAACCATGTACCTTTCCAAAAGACGTCTTTGAGTTATCCTGTTATTTCAAGTAAATGTGCTAGAATATTAGGACTCCTGTATGTAATGGTGTTAGTCTGCATAGTCTGTTGCTGTAACTCAGAGCTAAATACCAACAGAACTTGTTACTGTTGTTTGGGTTGCTTTTATATACCAGCTTCAAAATATGTTTTGACACTTTATTATGTTCTGAATCAAGCCTCAGATGTGTGTAGTGAAGAATGAAGTCTTGATCAGGCTCTCATGTGTAAATAACGGAGAAGAGCAGTTTGGAAATGGCCTCTCTGCAGAATGGTTTCTGCTGAGTTTCAGGTTAGGATCCCACACAAGCCAGCTGCCCCGGAGGTGTGAGCAGAACCCAGTGTCGTCTCCAAAGGCATGGGCTGCTGCTGTTGGGCATTGTCGCTTTCTTTCCTCTTTTCCTTTCCTCTTTCCCTCATCATGTCTTTTCCATAACATTCTCATTCTTAGTTTATATGCTGGACTTTTTGAGAAAGTCTGGCACCTCTCGTCCACTTTCCCTCACAGACTCTGTAATTTTTGGCTGTATTTTTATGTTTTTCAGATTCAAGTCAATCTGAAAGTCCCAGCCAGCCAAGTGACGCTGACATTAAGGACCAGCCAGAAAATGGTAAGTTTAGTTTGGGGCTCTGGCTGCTGCTCTGAGTCCACAGTGGCCAGCAGCCCGCTGAGTATGAGGGTTTCGGGTCTGCCCTGCATGCGGCCCACAGCGGGAGCAGCTTGGAGGACTCAAAGAGTTCTCTGGACACAGGTGCAGACCCAGACCCTCCTCTTGGGTACTGTCAGGTGCCCAAGAGAACCTTGGTTCCAGGAAAATTGATTGCTGTGAGAGAAGCAGAATCTTTTCAGCCTAAGTGAGGAGCGTGGCCTTTTCATTTCATTTTAGTTCCTTTTAAAGTGGCAAATGCCCCACAGTCCTCTTCACTAGTGATTTAAGATCGTTGACTGACAAGTATTTTTTGGGCCTTTCAGGCGTTCAACTGTTTGCTGATTGCTTTAAGAAAACGATCTCTAACTTTGAAGGATTTTCCACTTTAAATTGTCTGAAACAGGGGGCCGGCTGGGTGGCGTAATGGTTAAGTGCACACACTCTGCTTTGGTGACCCGGGGTTCGCAGGTTCGGGTCCTGTGTGTGCACCAATGCACCGCTTGTTGAGCCATGCCGTGGCGGCGTCCCATATAAAGTGGAGGACGATGGGCACGGATGTTAGCCCAGGGCTAGTCTTCCTCACACACACACACAAAAATTGTCTAAAATAAAACAATAGGGTACATGACAGTATTAAATTCCTCAATTGCATAAATATATAAACTTTCTGTTGCAGAGACTCGATTAAAATGGAAGGCACACTTTATATATGAATATAATAGTATTGGATAAAATACTGAGTTTGTGGTATGCACTCCAAGTGCAGAAGAGATTGTCATGGGTTGGAATTTAAGATTGAGTAAAACTATGGTTTCAATGAAAACCGACAAGTGGACCAGCTGTTGAGCGTATGCTGTGCTGTCGCAGATATCGGCTCAGGAAACCCACAGGACTCGTCCCTGGTGGTGGGGCGGAGGCTTTGATGGGTGCTTGGCCCTGAGGGCCCTTGACGTCGCTGTGGTCTCGTGGCTAAGAGCTCAGGCTCTTGTCAGACCTGTGTTCAAATTCTGCCTCAACTGTTTCTTACTTCCTAATATCGAAGAGGTTATTGAACCTCTCAGGGTAGAGATTTATTCCTCATCTTTAAAATAGTGCAGTAATACTACTACTTACCTGTTGAAGAGTTAAATAAGATAATATGTACGTATTCATATAGTTTATACTGTGTAAACATTGTTCGCTGTTGTTCTATATTACTTGTTGTATTTCTTGTCAGTATAATCCACCATATTGTTTTTTACCTATTCGGAATGACCTCATTCCTTGGGGCTCTCTTCCTGTTGTTTTTCTGTACATTTTTCCATTTTGTTCTCCTGATCTTTTGGAATAGATAGGTAAACTGAATTATGTCAGTATTGTGGGATAGAAGGTGGAGCTTACCACTTAGATATCTTCTCATTAATTTCTCAGGACTTGTTTCATTTCCCGAGCCTGGGAAATACTTTTACATTGCTGGGCTCTGTCTGGCTGTTCCTCTCCTCATCTTGGTGTTTTGGTGGTATTTTCGTTATCAACATTGTCTTTTCAAAGCAGTCATAAAGAAGAGGTCTCTGAAGGCTTGTTTCAGTGTGTCATAAACTACATCTTATTTTTGCTAACATTTTCAAGTGATGTTTATAGACTAGCTCTGTTCATTTCCCACCTGACTTATAGCTGATGCCTAAATGTTTTGTTTTTTCATATATTATATTTATATATAATCTGCCTGAAGTTGTGTCCAGAGATACTCATTTTATTTTCATTTTGAAAAGTTTGCAGGTGGTAGAGTGTGTGGTTCCATATTCAGGCCTGGCCACCCCTCCAGCCGGCCTGTCATTCATCGTCTTCATGAAGTGGCCAACAGGCAGTTCACACGCAGACGTAAACTGAGGCACAAGAGCCTGGCACACCCTCTGGAGCTGCCTGTGATACCGATGGTGTGCATTTCCCATCCCAAAAAACAACCAGGATGGAGCCTGGATTTTTCAGCCAAAGGCACCAATATACTAGCCAAGTTCACTTTTAACCCCAGATTACTTGGTGCTACCTCAAGCATTCCCAGTACAATTTTGGGAGGATCGTGTGAGTTCAAAGAAAGAATGTATTAATATCTAGGAGAGAAAGTAATAAATTCCTGTGTTTCAAATTTCTATTTATTTCAAAGAAAAAGAAGTAGAAGCTGCTTTGTCTTTGACAATTCTGGCCAAAGCTCAGACTGGAAGAATATCATCAGCCCATTCAGTTTCCTCTGTCTGCCTTTTGTCAATCTCAGATGAAGTTATCGGAGGAAAAATGATTTTCTCTCTTCCCTAGAGACATAGAATCCCCAAAGGAAAATGAAGGAAGATTTCAGGACGAGGTATTTACGTGCATTAGATCCCTTTCTGGTGTTGCTTGATCAAGAGTGCTCGCTCTTTCTCATTACCCAGGTTATGGGAGATGAGTTCCTGAAAGGTTTTCATTTGTTCGTTTCATTTTTGTTTTTAAAGAGGGAACTTTCATAGACAAATCAAGAAAACTCTTAAGAATGTTTGGAATCTTGGTGGATGAAGAAGTGACAGGGTCTAGTCTTCAAATAAGTAGGAACTCATTCCTCCTTCTTTATGTATATGGGAGGGGAAATAATATTCTTTTTATCCCAGCTCTTGAAGAGAAAGGTAATGGGAAACGAATGGTATTTTCCTAGTAAACCACGAGCATGGATAGACAAAGGGTGACATGCTGTTTCATCCACAACCGTAAACGAGGCTGTGTAACTCTACCTAAAGTGGTTGCAGCTGTTTCTTCCCTGCCCAACGAGGCTGTTGTTTTCTGTGGAATTGTTGCTTTCTTTTCTTGTACTCCCTTAAGACTCAACTGTAAAGGAAAACAAATCTTTGTCCAATTAGAGCATTAGATGGGAATTTTGAAGGAATTATCTGAAGCCCAGAGATAAAATATCAGCATCTCTGAAACTCAAAATTGGTGTAATATAATGATTAAAAACTCTGCCTCTGGAGTCAAACAGACCTGAGTTCAAGTGAAATGATGGCTGGTGACTTTGAATAAACTATCACCCCAACCTTGGTTTTCTTATCAGTAAAATAGGAAAACTAAAAGAACATACCTCATGAGTATTAAAATGAGAACATGCATATGAAAGAGCATCATGCCTGGTTCATGGGAAGGACCCCGAAAAGGTAATCATTAGTTCTCGCTGGGTCAGGCACACACCTGTGATGCGTACAGGTAGTCGAGAGGTCAAAAGCTGGGCACAGTGGAATGAGAGGGGGATAGAGTCAGAAATAAACAAGACTTGTAGAGTGTCCTTTGTAGACACCTACTCTGTCCTGAGTTGTCAGGCACAATCTGCTCAGATCTCCTCATAATCCCTGCAGGACCACATCTCTCTTACTGTTCAGGTCTGTGCCTCACTTTCTGTCACTTCCCGGGAGTTGAAAACTACCAAGTCCATTCATAGTGGCTAGAACCTTCAGAATGAGTGCTCAGGATGAAGGGGATTCTGGAAAGAAGGGTCTCCACCTAGATGTCTTTAATCTTAGCTGAGTTTTTCCTTGGCACAAACCAAATAGAATTTGGCTTATTAAAAACTGTAAGCTGATTAAGGATAGGAGTCATGACGGGGGCCAGCCCTGTGGCTTAGCGATTAAGTGCGTGCGCTCCGCTACTGGCGTCCCGGGTTCAGATCCTGGGTGCGCACCGACGCACTGCTTCTCTGGCCATGCTGAGGCCGCGTCCCACATACAGCAACTAGAAGGATGTGCAACTGTGACATACAACTGTCTACTGGGGCTTTGGAGAAAAAAACGGAGGAGGATTGGCAATAGATGTTAACTCAGAGCCGGTCTTCCTCAGCAAAAAGAGGAGGATTAAGCATGGATGTTGGCTCAGGGCTGATCTTCCTCACCAAAAAAAAAAAAAAAGGATAGGATTCATGACAAATTCCTCTTGAAACAATCTTGCACAGCATGTAGCTCTGTACCTTGAACTTAGTAGGCTCCCGGTATTTATTTGCTTAATTAATAAAATTAATAAGTAGATGAATATGTTTTTATTATCCCCAAGTATTTTTATTTTTGGTGAGGAAGATTAGCCCTGAGCTAACATCTGTGCCCATCTTCCTCTACTTTATATGTGGGACGCTGCCTCAGCATGGCTTGATAAGCAGTGCGTAGGTCTACACCTGGGATCCGAACCGCCAACCCACGAACCCCAGGACCACTGAAGCAGAGCACGTGAACTTAACCACTACCCCACCTGGCTGGCCCCTCCCCAAGTCTTTTCTGAGTGTCTGCTCACTGCTGATTTACCAAGAGGTTTTTAAGGGGAAAAAAACATTAATTAAGAAAACCTGGAGAAGCTGAAAATCTGATTTGGGTGTGGGGCAAAGTTGTATGCAGACACATGGACACTCGTACACAAGTATAATAATAGCACTAGGAAGCCAAAGCTAGGGGCTGTCCTGATGGCCACAGTGGATCAAGTTGTCCCTCCACCCCCGCCCTGCCCAACGAGCAGGTGTGAAAATGTGTGAAATGCCATCGCGTTACCTTATGCTTGATTACCCTAGGGAATGCATCCTGACAAAGTTCTCAGTCTGACTGGTATCACTTGTTTAATTCTTTTGCATATTGCTAAAATCCCCTTTCTGGATTTTCAAGAGCTCCTGAAGGTTTTAAGCCTTATTTGTCGGACTTGGACTTAGAACTTCTACTCAAACCACCTTTGTGAATTCCCATGATGTTCTTTGATTACTGTTAAGAGCATTTATAGGACAAAACATTTGAAGTGCCTGCCCGATATTTACAGGGCCTGTGGACAGTCCTCCAAAGCTTGCATTCTGTGGTGCATCAGGGAGTCATTAATGAGGAAAAAGCTCACGTGAGAGCCCTCCTTCTTAATTCAGGGCAGCTTCCCTAGGGCCATATGGAGTCAGAGTCTGAGGGAACAGCACAGTCCAGCACTGGCACTCTGAAAGCACG